GGGAATTCTCTTGTTAGAGCTGAACACTGTCCCTGCCAGGTTTTCTCCTACTGCTAGCTATTTTCATTGGTGGTGCAATGCAACTTCTGTTCTCTAACTACTGGCATTTTAATCAGGGTCGTTTCATTCTAATCTGACTGCAGGTGAAAAGGCAAAAAAGGATGCATTTGATCCATCCTTCTAGCAAGGCAGAATTTTTCTTGTTGAATACTACAGAGCCAGAGAGGTTAGACTCTTCAGATGATTAGAAACTCATTCTACAAACAGTGGTTTGAAATGAAACATAAGCTGCAGGTTCTGCTATAATGAGAGCAACAGTTTGGACAAGTGAAAGAAAGTTGAGACATATATGTGTAATGCAAATCTGCAGGTTAAGTGCTCTTTTTAGTTGTAAAGAATTCTCTTTCTGTGTGTTAGAGACATATTTGGACAAGGGATATCAAAAGAGCATAGGAGCCAGTTCCTTTTTTCCTCCCCCATTAGAACATAGCCTGAAGTCTTTTCTAGGCCAGAAAAAATGCATCTCCTTAATGTGGTCATTGTCCTATAGCAGATTAGTAGACATCATCAAATCATTCATTCTACTGAAGGCCATTTCCAATCTATCTCATTAGCACAATGTTCAATCTAGTTAAAGCTGAGTCAAACTAAAATGAGCAACTAATGGACTGAAACACTGCATTTTTTTTTTTTTGTAAAAAAGGTCCTGAACTCAAAATACAGTATCTCAGATACAAGATCAAATTATAGATTGCAGAATTTTCTTGAGGAGGACTTTAAAAATAATTATAATGTATCTATGCCTGATTTTTTCTGTGAAAAAAAAAATACTATAAAGGGATTATATTGACAAAATGCAACAAAGACCAAGTTAAATTCCAAGTTAGATCTTGGAAAAGATTAATTTTTTCTCGTATGTCTGAATATTATAAAAGTAGAGATTAAAGACAGCCCCACCAAATACCATCCAGGCCATATTTAAATTTGAACGCAACAGTAAACAGCATGCAATCTTCGCAGATTTTAAAACAATACAGGCCCTGGCACACATTGCAATTTGTACCCACATGGCCAAACTTTCCAGTGTATGACTGGCGGGATTTGCATCTCTTGATGTGTAAGGTTCACTTGAGCAAGGTATGTTCTAATACTCTCATGTGTAAAACAGCCAGAGAGCCTCACATTTCACTCTGGATATCATCCCTACAGTGCTCTTCTGAAATTCTGGCTGCTAGTACCTCTCCTGGTGTGGCAGACAAGTGATTGCAGCCTGCAGGGGCCTGGGCCGTGCTCAGCGCACATCTACACGCTCACTTACAGGCAGACACTGCGCGGCTTTGCCAAGCCAGTGGGAAGCAAATGAAATCTCCCCAGACAAGCTGTCAATTTGCTTTGCCTGGGGTAATGGGCTGTGCTGTTCATTCTGTGGGCTTATGCAGGGTGGACATATGCACGGCCATGTAGTTTCTCATTTCAGAGCTGTTGTTTAACTTAAATCGCTTTCGCAAGGGGAGGGGGAAAAGCATGTCTGTGCAGTTCTCTTTAAAATTATCTTGAAGATTGGCTGGAACTGACCCTATGAAAACAAGTTAATTAGTGTATAGAAACATGTGGGTTTTTTTAACCAGTAACTGCAATATAAAGCAATACAAAATACTTCACAGCCCTGGTGCCCAGCATAAAAAAGATGCCAAGAAACTGCAAAACCAGCACCACAACAATGATGGTAGAACCCTGAGAAACACCAAACAACAACTTAGCAAAACAAATTTGCTTAGCTAATCCAAAAGTTTGGATTTTAATATGTTCATCTCTAAAGAGGAGAACACATGCTCACCAAGAACAGTCTTGGAAGAGATTAAAAATACTCACTGGAAGTGCAAAACAAGGTTTACATTGTACAGATGCACAGGTTTTAAGATAAATTGCTGAAATGAGTAATAACAAATAGTGTCAATTTGCTTTCTGGAGAATATTTATTAATCAAAAATGATCACTGGGCTCTGACATATCAGTCAGAGTAGGTGGTCACTTCTGGCCTCCAAACCCCATGAAAATGAGTTATAAGGGGCTGGTCTCAGGAATGCATAATGTAGCAATACCAGTATTTCACTCCTCACTAAAATGGTCAGAGATTTGAAGTGCCACAGCAAAGAGGAGAAATGGCTACACTATCTCCTTGACAAGTTTGTGCAGATAAATTCTAACCCTATTTTATATTAATTTTGTTATATAAAATAATTTATATTGCACTTTATTATATCAAGCCTTTTCTGGTTTATCAAAACAATTTTACTCATAGCTAAAATAAGAAAAATTGCGTTCACTTTGTCCATGAAACAAAATGACAGCTTCACATAACAGTAGGCAGACAGAGACCTGGAATTTCAGAGACATTTGGTGCAATGTTTCTTGCAAGAATTATTTTTAATATACAACTGTAAAATTTTTATATAGCCATGATATGTCAAATATGGGGCCTTCCTAAGATCTTTGAAAGTATGAAACCATCAGTGTAGCTGCAGCTTGGTATAAGAGAACCTTCATCCTCCCAAGAGCTAATTTTACTGTCATAGTTTACAACCTATAGCTGTAAGAAAGTGGTTTTGTCCTTGAAAGACTGACAGTGAAAATTTTCTTCTCAATATAAAGTGATTTTTCTAACACATTTATAAAAACAGAAATTGAACGTTTTCCGTATTTCATTTGCCATTTGCTAGGCAAATGTCTGTCTTGCTCAAAATTTTTTATTGTGAAAAAGAAATCCTGTGAGAGAAGGAATCCTTTGGGAAGCTCTAGCTATAACAACAATGTCTGTAACTCGTGTTCTTTTGTGTGTGTGTTTGTGGTGGCTTAGTTTTCTTTTATTTTGAAGGAGAGATCTCTCTTTGCGACCAAGTTGTTTCTCTCCCTGTTCAGCTTACATTATTTGACGTTTCAGGGGGAATGACTTACAGTTCAGAGGCATTAGAGTTATGATCATCACAAGCTTTTATTTTGGTGAAATAAACACATTTCTCTGTACATCCTCTTGCCTGTCAGCACTGATGACAAAGGGGATGCTGACAACTGTCAGTGCTATTAATGTGCACTGGGGAAAGAGAAGGGAAAGGATAGAGCAAGGAGCTTTTACTATTATTGTTGGAAAATTTCTTAATCCAGTAACAAAATCCAACAGGTGAAAGCCCCAAATTTCACAGTTACAGTAATTGTATTATTCAAATCAAATTTTTGCAGTCTACCCTCATGCTGGCATCTATCAAGAATCAGTGTAAAAACCCCAAAACAGACTAATAGCATTTAGGAATTAAAATTTCCCTGTGTAGAATGGAATCTCTTGCAGTCCAGTGAAGGTCATGAAATTCAAGTAAGTTTTGAATGACTCAGCCTCTTGGTTACTATATCTGTCCCTTTCAGGAATCTCCAAAAGCCTGCGTGCTGGAACCTTGTGTTCAAATTTCATGCTTTCTCTGTATTGCCATCAATGTGACCTCACAACAGAGTAACTGGCTTTACGCTACTGGGCAGCTACATCACTCTACACACACAAGAAAAAGGCAAACACTGCACCAATTATTAAAGAGAGTAGAAAGGAGGACCCCAGAAACTGCCCTGTCAGCCTTCTCTCTGTGCCTGGGAAGATCATGGAACAGATCCTGCTAAGGCATATGGAGGACAGGAAGGAGATTTGGGACAGCCAGCATGACTTCAACAGGGGCAAATCCTGCCTGCCCAACCCAGGGCCTTCCATGATGGAGAGTGGGCAAGGGAAAGGCTTCAGATGGCATTTGTCTGTAGTTCTGTAAAGCCTTAGATATAGTCCCCCACAACATCCTTCTCTCTAAACTGGAGAGGGATGGGATTGATAATTGGATTGTTCAGTGGATGAGGAATTGGCAGGACAGTCACATCCAGAGTGTTGTGGTCAATGGTTCAGAGACCTGATGGAAACCTGTGACAAGTGGTACCCCTCAGGGTATTTCAAATTGTTCAAAATCTTCATCCATGACGAAGACAGTGGGATTTAGTGCACCCTCAGCAAATTGGCAGGTAGCACCAAGCTGAGTGGTGGTTTCACACATCTGAAGGATGGGATGCCATCCAGAGGGACCTGAGCCTCATGAGGTTCAACAAGATGCTGCACTCAGATCAGGACAATCCCAGACATGAGTACAGACTGGGAGAAGAAATCATTAAGAGCAGCCCCACAGAGAAGGAGCTGGGGGGGTCCTGGAGTGCTGCATCCAGCTCTGGGGTTTTTGGCACAAGAAAGATGGGGATCCATTGGAGCAAGTCCAGAGGAGGGCCAGATAAATGATCAGAGGGCTGGGACACCTCAGCTATGAGAAAAGACTGAGAGAGTTGTGTTTGTTTAACCTGGAGAAGACAAAGTTCCAGGGAAATCTTATTGCAGCATTTAAGTGCTTTAGGGGGGTGTACAAGGGCTTATTGCTGTTGCAATGAGACAAGGGCTAATGGTTTTAAATTAAAAAAGGTAGATTCAGGCTACATATGAGGAAGAAATTATTTTACAATGAGGGTGGCAAGGCATTGCAACAGGTTTCCTAGAAGATGGTGCCCTATCCTGAAGACACTCAGGGTCAGGTTGGATGGGGCTCTGAGCAGCCTGATCTTGAAGCTGCCCCTGCTCTGTGCAGGGGTTTGGACTCGACAGCCTTGAAAGGTCCCTTCCAGCCCAAACCATCCTATGACTCTCAGATGCCTGCTTTTGTCCTTGTTGAGTTTTGCACCAATGTTCTCTTCAACATTAACAACTTTTTTTTATGCCCCCACTGTATTGCCAGGAAAAAAGGGATGAAAGCAAAAATGACATTTCTGCGCCTGCAAGACAGACAGCGCAGCTGACAAGATGCTGTGTTGGTGACAGACTGAAGAAATCTTGTCTGGATAATGCAAGGCACAAAACAAGCCAATATTCACCCTTCAGTATCACAAAATAGAAATATATTTTTCCATACTCTACTCCTCATATTTCTTACCTTAGTGCTTTGTTCTCTATAGAAGTTAATGCTCATCTTGGTAGATTCTGACCTCTGCCATGTAAGAGGACCATGAGATTTTGTAATCCTGGAACAGGTCAGGTATCTGAGGGCAGAAAATAAAGGTCAATTGTCTCTTTACATCATTCCTGGAAACCACAGCAGTATTACAGTGGTCTAGGTAGTTTAAACCAACCATAAGGAGAGACTCTGCCAGAAGTGCTTCTGCAATTCTGAATTTAGCTTCAGGAGACAAATAAATACAAACAAATTGGCATGTCAGGGGCAACACACAAAAAAGAATCTCTCTCATAATAGCAATCCATTAAAATACACATAAAATAAGAAAGGAAGGGGAATCAAAAGAGAAGAAGAAGCTAATTTTTTGTTTAACTTCTTCTTTATAACTTCAATTTTGCATTATCAAAATACAATTGAACTCATCATAACTAAATACTCACATAATTTTCCTCTCCCCTGTAGTTTCCATGAAACAGATGCATGTGCCTATTAAGTTATATTTTATGATTCATCTGGGGCAATTTAGCTCAACATATATTTTTGTTTGATACAAGAACAGCCTAGATTGATCTTTTTGGCAAATGAATTCTTAGTGAATGACAGAGTAAGGACTTTAGTTCCCAAAGTCATAAAATTACTTATTCTACTGCATAGCAAGCCAAAGCAATGCATAGCTGGGTTTTTGTAAGCTATCAGGGTACAAAATTAAGGACACGTGCCCTGACTGCACTTAATGCATTAACAGAAAGCAGTCCCATAGTACAGGGCCAAAATAGGTTCAGCTGTGGGATGGCAGCTTTAATTGACAGTCTGCAGGTGGCTCTCCATGGGTTATTGCTTCTCTCTAGTCACCAGCTCATTTTTGTAGCCCTCTTAATGTGCCTGAATGCTCCACTTCTGCAAGGTGATGCTGAGAGGTCTGACAGCTATAGCTGATGCATTTAGCCCTGAGTTTCAGCAGAAAGGTGGTGGCTTCAATAAAAGTATGGAGGAGCTTCTGGGGTGAAAAGCCAGAGCACGCTGTACGGTCATCAATCCTGATCACTGCCTGGGAACACCTGGCACTAAGAGTGAGAGATGGTTTTTAGTGAAGAGAGAGTGTACGGCATTGCATTATATAACAGGGGATTATAGTTAGAGAAAACAAAGCCAGCTGAGAAAGGCCAGGCTGGTTATCTTGATGCTTAAGTTCCATCTCTAACATTAGCTTAAGAGCCTTCACTAGCAGAGAGACCACTCCATTTCATTATATATCTTTAACATAAACAGTGCTGTGTTCTAAGCAAGTCTCCATCAGACAGGTCATTAGGATTTACTATGATCTAAAAAAGCAATAGCTTTAGACACTTTATTATATACTATGGTGGGAGTTATTTTTTGTATCATATTTTTTATGTAGCAAGTCGCAGGGTGCTTTATAAAACTTTGAGGCTCTTGCACCTGATGTTTGAAATGCTAACCATACAATATATTTGGTAATTTTATTTCTGGCTTTTGTAGTTTCCCAAATAATTGTGCCGTAGTGGCTTAGTTCTCATGGAAAAATATTGACTTCTAGAGGAAAAGCTACCAGTAGTTAGCATTACTAACAAAGTAAACAATTCAGAGATGTCCACTTGAATCTGCAGGCAGCAAGAATCACATTTCTTGAACTTGAAAGGGAAATAATAAAATTGCAGGATCACAGCATATGCTGAGTTGGAAGGGACCCACAAAGATAATCAGGCCCAACTCCTGGCCCTTGCCACGAACATCCCCAGGAGTCACACCCTGTGCCTGGGCACACGCCATGTGCTTTGTCCAAAGGCTTTGTGCCCTCTGTCAGGTTGTTGCTGTGACCACTTCCCTGGGGAGCTGTTCCAGGGCCCAAACACTCCCTGGGTGAAGCACCTTGTCCTGACACTCATCCTAACCCTCCCCTGACACAGCTTCAGGCCATTTCCCCAGGTCCTGTCACTGTCACATAGAGAGGAAATCAGTGCCTGCCCCTCCTGCTCAAGTGGAAGTTGTGACTGCACTGAGGTCTCTCCTCAGCCTCCTCTTCTCCAGACTGAACAGAGCAAGCAACCTCAGTGCCCCTCCCCATATGAATTCACCTCAAGAGAGCTGCATACTCATTTTAATTCCCTTTTATTATGTTACTATAAGTGTGTGCATCTATCTAACCAAATGCCTTTTCTTCTCTCAATATAACATACTGTATCTCCATAGTAACAAAATATAAATAAAACCATTTGATTTGTGAAATTTTATTTTTAGAATGGAATTACAGTATATAATATATCATAACAATTTTTTCTCATCTTGTGTTTTTCTTCTAAATGCACTCAAATAAATCTATATAAAGAAAGCCCTGTGACTTAGTTACTGGAAGAACATATATTGTGGCACTACCCAAATAAGTGACAAGGTATGTAAGATCAGGGAGTAATGAAAAGCAGTCATCTCACAACCAAACTGGAAATCATGCTTTTCGCACGCTAAAGTGTGCTAAATCTCAGGATAAAATATCCCGGTTGTTCATTGGTGCCAATAATCAAAATCACTTAATCTCTCTTGGATGCAGGGATCACCTGAAGTGACCACTTCAATTATTAAATCACAGCTTTATAACTTCACTGTGTTCTTTGTCTTGGTGCGTCTGAGAATTTAAATCTTCTAGTGATTAATGATCTTTATTCTATATTTGAACTACCATAGGTCCAGTTGTTTTAAGCCAATGGTATCATTTATGCTTCAGTAATTCTTTTCCTTTCCTTGTGTTACCCATCCCCTGAAGCACTGATTTATTTTCTCTAAACAAGCCAAGATCATCTTTTATCAAACTTTATTCTGCCTTCAAATGTTGTTATGTATTGTCCTTTTGTAAGTACTTTTCAGGTCAAATAACAGAAGAGCTCTAACATCAAATTTCTATCAGAATGCCTATTTATTTTAAATACAGATAACCAGAACTGTTTATTGTGTTGCAGATAAACTTTAAATAGTGTTTAGCATTCTGGTCTTTTTTTTCTTTTTAGTTTGCCTGATGTATCTGAGAACAGCTTTTACTTTTTTTCTTCCCTATTACATTAGTGACTCACAAATATGTTGTGACTGTTCAAATGTTGAACTCCAAATGCATCATTATTACTTTCCTTCCTAAATGCATGGCTTTCTTATACCTCCTTTGTTCAGTGAAAATATCTTTTCCTTACTATGGCTAGATATTCCTCCACTGTGCCATTATTAGTAATATTTGTTCTGAAGCCTGTTTCTGGAAGGTCAAAATCTTCCATAAAGACAGTAAATCTTCCCTAATGCTAATATTTCTCTTTCTAATAACATTATGGAGATCTTTATTCAGCACAAATTAAACTCTAGGGGACTAAAGCAGACATCATCATCCAAACCTTTTTCTTCCCTAAATTGTTTTTTATTCAAATTTATCCAATTTATCCATTTTATCATTTTATCACATTATCTTTTTTTTTAAGACTAGCACATTCTACATTATAATGCTGTTTCACTACCCTGCCTTTAATTTCTAGCTTGCCTGAACAATGTGTACTCTTCCTATTTATGTTGCACCCTATTATTATTAGTCTACCTCAGTTGGGCTACCCTAATTATATCTGCCTTGACACCTTGCATCATAATTCAGTTTCATCTCTTATGTTGTTCAGATGATTTTAATTCCTATACTAATATTTCTACTACTTCTCAGTAGTCTGAGGTGATCACTTAGCTAGATTAGGAATATTTCATTTAAGGTTCTGCTCATCTGACTACTGCTGTCACCAGCTTTTTCTGCTTCCGATTACTCAAATGACCCTTTCCCTGCAGCATCTTCACTGATTTGTGCCACTGCCTGTGGCAGTCTGAGCAGACAGGGTGGAGCAAAGCAGATTAGAAAGCAAATTCCCACTCCCTTCTAATAGGGGAAATCCACAGGTGTGAAAGGACCCTAAGAAAGGAGGACCAGAAGAAAATATGTTGAAATTCAAAGTCAGTCATTTTGAAAGGGGGTTCACTTGCTCATAAGAGCACTCATGTGAGGAGAGAGCTGGTAGCTCCCTTCGCCCCCTGGTAATTCACCTGCTGAGAGTTTCCATGGTCTCTGGAATTGGTTTCCCTTCATCCCCCTCTGCAGAGGAACTGTGTTTTAGGATGATGGGGATTTGACAGAGCACTGCCTTTGATGTGAGGAAGAACAGAGCCTCAGAGGTTTGCACAACTTTCTTTAACACAATGATCAAATATTGATCAGCTAATAAAGATATCTCTGAGAATACCAAGCTCTCAGAAATGAAGCTGCTGCCTATGATGCTGCATAATTCCATAATAACGTGCTATTTTGAATTGTTGTCGACAGGCAAAACCTTGTTCTGGCAGGAAAGGGGTGACACATGCAACAGTTTTTTGCCTGCTTAGCATCCATATTTCTACATTTGAAAATGTGAGAAAATTGTTTTATTGCTTACAGATAATGCATCAGTTATAGAGGTAGGTGTTTGGGGTTTTTTATTATTGTTGCTGCTGATTATGTTTGTTTTTTTTTTTTAAATTCTATAGAACTGTGTGACAAAAATACCTTGTTGTTCAAATGAAGAAATAATGTCTAAAAATTACAAATACCTGACACTGGAATAGAATATAATTATTTGGAGAAGAGAGATTGCTTAAAGGGCTTGCATCCCAAGCAGAAAAACTCCTATGAAGTCAGATGAAGACAAATAGTGAAATCAGAGCTGCCAGTGAGGATAAAAATGGTAGGATGTATGATTTGTGCAAACAGTCAAGCAAGAAACATTGTTTTGGTAGGAAATGAATGAGACAAATCTGACCTTCATTATGCCAACTCCTCTGAAATATTAAATAGAGAAAGTAGTGAAATAAGGATTAAGGCTATTTTTGCTGTCTCTGGAGCAGTTCAAAACAGTCTTAGTGGGGACCAAAATCCAGCCGTAGGACTCTGTTAATTAAAATAGCCACTATTAAGATATTTACTGTCCCTAATAATCATAGCTATGCAATTTGTACTAGAGTAAACAAATCATGCTTTAGAAGTTCCCAGTTGACTATTACAGCCTAGTCTGTCAGCTGTCATTTAGTTATAAAACCAATTTTCCATGTAGTTTATTTGCATAAACAACAGTTTTTACAAAGAGCTCCACAGAAAAAGAAATCACATTAAACAAAATTAAAATTAGGATAAAGTAATGTTAATAAACTGACAAGCTCCCCAAAGCCCAACTAGTCAAAGATTTTTTAAAAATTTCATGCTGAGTTTTTTTGATGTGTTCACCTCTCTAGGCAGACTTACACTGTGTTAAAAGAATGATCATTACTGCTTCTTGAATCCTGTTAATTATGCATGTGTGTGCAGGGTTATTTGTAATTGGTCCCTCTCCAGATATTCTCTCATCTCTCTCTGTTTTCATGAAAATTTAAAAAATATCTACACTGACTATCATTTACTCACTAATATCTCTCTCTGTTTGTATATTTCAGGCCTCCTGTGCTGATATGGGCCAGATTGGACAGATATTACCACATTAATTTTATTTGGATGGACGAGCTGCCTCTGCCAGCTTGGTGGTGTGGGGCCATGGACTGTTTTACCTCATTATAATCATAGACAAGGTGCAATGAATTTTTAGCTCAAATACAGAACAGTTTTCATACCTGGCACACACAGATCAATGTATTAAATCGACTTGAATGAAAAGGAGACCTCATACTTACGTACATACACTTCAGGACTTTTCACAGGGTAGGAAGCCAGTGGGGTCATTCTGCAAATCAGATGGTTCAACTTGCTCTGCACAGCCCACTGTAGCAGTTAGTCTTCCCCTGGTCTTCATCAACACTGCCTGTGCCTTCACACCTTGTAACACATAGCTATATTTTCTAGGCAGAAGCAATATTTTAGTCTCTTGCACAAACGTATTTTATTTTTAAATAATACAAGCTTTTTCTCCACATGTTATCTCAGTATCTTACATTTACCCATGTCAGAAAATTTTGCCCCTGAGATAATAATCTCACCAAAGACTGTAGGTTGGGCAACATTGCAGGGAACCCCATTAGAGGTGCAGTGCTAAAACATGGTTTTACCCTGGAAAGTACTGAAGGATGGGCTTGCAAATCACCAGATTTCTTTGGAAACCTTTTTTAATGTCCACCAACTGCCCTATGGGGCTTTAAAGAATTGTTAACAAGTGAGTTTTAGATAATATCTGATCTCTTCTATAAAATTTGCATTGCTCTACAATCCCTAGTGAGCCTTTAGCTCTTGCATTTATGGCAGATGAGTTTTACTGAGAAAGGAAAATACTGAAGCTGCTGACTAAATAAATATAGCTAGATGCCCATGCACCTTTCTCTCGATGACACTGAGGCAGTGAAAATTCACCAGTGCAGATGGCGTTTGCAGGTATGGCAGAGTCACAAGAACAAGAAAGGTCTTAAACTGCCATGAATGGCCTTACCTTTGGGAAAAGAGAGACTTCTCTGTCTTATAAGATATTATGTTTTTCACATGTCATTCAGCATATGCTTTTGCAACCAAAACTGGTCTTGTTGTTTATATTTCACAATATTTTGGGGCCAGGATTTTCTTTTTTCCCCCTGAGTTTCAGCTGAGCTGCTCTTGCTTGACTGCTTCTGAGCCTGCATCTGATTGCAGAGTGGCTGTGCTTTCACACTGCTCAGATAAAGGGCTTGCACTGCAGTCGTGACTGGCATGGGATTGGGTTTTGGACCTTTCTTACGTCCAGACCTACGGAGATGACGGCATGCTGATTCATCCATGAATAACCAAAGTGAACTCCTAGACAGTCTCAAAAATAGACTTCTTAGCTCACTTCTGTTAACCCCAATCTTCCTGAAAAATACTGAGATATGAGAAAAAAATAATGTCATAATACTTGTTATGTGCTGAGACAATGAGATGAGACATTAAAGTAGGGAAGGGAATAAAGTTTAGTTAAACACTGCAGTCAGAAACAGGAGCTTACCTATTTTTTAAGCCAGTTATTGCTTTCAGTTTGCAGTTGAACAGTTCTTGGTGCTGCTATTTTGATGCCCAGCTCACTGCTCATAGAATCATATGAATTCAACTTTGTAGTATTAATTTCTCATTTAGACTACTTCACATGCATTAAAAAATGCAGAATGTTTCCTTTTATTTTAAACCTCTTTAATAAATTTTATCCTTTTCCCTGATTTTTTTTTTTTTTACTGAAATGAAGTTCTTGAGCATTGGCCAGTGAAGAGAGGGACACTGGACACTTGCTGGCTTTTGCAGGGCAGTAGGTTATGGACAGACACAGCAGCTGGGGAAATCGGAAACATCCATTTTCCTCTCATGCTGCTGTCCCAATGGAATATGGGGAGTTTGAATTGAATGATATTTATTTCCATAACGATTTCATTTCAGCACCAACAAATGTGGATAAACTGGCACAGCTTGTCTAGGAGACCAATTCATGCCTTTCCTTTAAAAATCAGTCTGAAGATATTTTATTTTCCCTGTAACTCATAAGCAATGTGTCTACAGATTGATGTGTGTCCTTAGTTTTACAGAAAAAAAGTCATATCAGGCAGCATCTGGAATTTATTGTTTATGAATTGGAAGATTCTATCAGTATTTGAGACCAAAAACATTTAACTGTCACATTAATTTTGTTATTACTTCTCAGATGACTTATCTCATATTCTTCTAATATTCAGCCAAAATGATTGTTGGGTTTTTATTTGCTGACTGTTACAATTAATTTTAGAGTTTAGAAAATCATATTATGTCCAGTACTCTTTTATACTAAATTAAAAATTACAATAGAATTGTTATAAAGACCTTTGAAATAAAGAACTGGCTTCTGATTAAAACAGAGGTTTCTGTGAGGCCTTTTGCACCGCTGATATTTTTGTTTGTTTTACAATTTACAAACACTAAAGTGAGCTGACCTTCCATCACATAAACTGCAATGAAGCTTAGGGGTGGCCTTGGGCTCTCATATCAGCTGCACCTCAGTTCAGTAATCTTATTGTCTCTCTCAAAATTAGGTCATCTGAGAGCCAAGTCCTCGCTCTTGCCCATGGGGATATTACATACCCTATCTGTCTATACAAAGGGATTTAAACAGAATTGCTTACCCAGTATCTGAAGAAAAGACCTAGGTTAACAGAAATCAATTTTTCTACAAATGCCAGGAAAGTGCATTATTACTTTTGGTGAAATAATATAGTATCTGGCTTATGATGAAAATCCACGCAGTGCCTGTGTATTGTCTTGTATACAAGGGAAAAATATAAAATTATTTTCTGCCCCCCAGCTTTGTACTGAAGAGCCATGTGACACATTCTATAAAAACTAACATGTGTAAAGGATTGTGTCATTATATACAGCTGTTAAAGACCTAGAAAGCGAACAATGTGCTACTGACATATAAATAATACCTTCTGTGCACAGTTAAACATTGGTGCTATTTTTGCCAGATTTTAAGCTCTTTTGAGGCCAACTGGAACAGCTGAAATAGAACATTAAAAAAATGTTTTGATGCTGGGGCACAGATGGCTGTAGCCCAATGTGTCAAAATAAATGTTTCATTTTTGGTCTAATGTGCGAAAAATAGACCTTCTCAATTACACCAATAATCACAGGTGCAATCAATAAGTGACTCTGTAGATAAGAGCTATTTCAGATGGGCATTCAGAGAAATTCTATGTATTCTATGTCCAACAGTATGAAAAGGTAATTTACCTTAGACCAATGACTTACTGTCTTTGAAAGGCTGCTAACAGCCACAATCAAGCCTGAAGCTTTAATCTTTTATTTGGCAACTGAATTTCACAAACACATGATTGCTCCTTATGATAGAGGTAGTTTGAGAAGATGCTGCAGACAACAGATCTGTTAACTTTAAATCGATGACATATGTCTGCTTAGGAAATTCAGAATGCCTTGAACAGATTTCAGCACTTAAAAGCTTGTGCAGAACTTTTCTAGAAGGCTTTGATGAATAAAGAGAAGAGTTAATCAAATACAGGTAAGTTGTTTTCACAGCCAACATCTGCCCAGACCTTGCACATCACTGGAATTGGATGGCCACAACAAACCAGGTGCATCCATCAGTCTCTGCAGCAGCTAAGGAACAACCATCAGTCAGACTGCTGTTGTTGTAGCTCAGAGGATGACATCTCCCTGCTGAAAAGGGCAACCCATCACGGCCAGAGCCACCTCACAGAAATGGTAAAGAGCTCGAGGAGAAACTTCAAATAACCCAGAGAAAGCAGTGTGGGAGAAGATAGCAGCCAGGTAGGAAACAAATGGCTTCAGCTTCCAAAACTCAGGCTTGGTTACAACAACAGTGCTGGGCTTTGTGTGTGAGCTGGAGCCACGTGAGAGAGGGAATGGTGATTGCTTCGCTGCAGCACAATGGGAAAATCGTTCACGTTGTCATAAGCAACATTTTACTTCCCATGTGAAATTTAAATCTGCTCCAGCTGGTGCAGTGACAGTTCTCACAGCCTGCACAGACAGTGAGGGAGTGGGAGGGAGAGGGCAAAGCCAAGCCAAGCCAAGCCAAGCAGGCTCACAGCTGAATCTGGAAGGCACCTCTCCTTTTCCTGAAACAGTGCCCTTCCAGGCCACTCTACGAGCTGCTGTGGCAGAACTGTGGCTTTGCATTATTTCATCTGCAGGGAGATTTCTGCTGAAATTTTCTGATTTTTCTGCTTCTGCATTTCTGCTGAAGATGCAGGATTGTCAGTTTTCCCTGGGCACTGCAGGACAGAAGGCAAAGTGAAGTTCTTTTGGCTCTAAGGGACCTGCAAGAATTGAAAAGATTGAAAAAGCCTTTGAATATATTGCACTATTCATTTTCTTAATCTAAATAACCCGATTTCTTTCATACATCATTTAAGTGTTCCATGTACCTCAAAACATTACTTTTTCTAGGAAAAAATATTTGAACCATAATCATATATTTTTCAACAAGCACTAGGGCTGATCCTCTGCTTGAGGATGAAGTGCTTAGTGTGGGCTTTATATGGGTGACCCAAGAGAGGGTAGGAAGGCGAATGTGGTGCACACAAGAGGTAAAGAACAAAATCATGAACCTGCAGATTGAGTTTTAGGCTGTTAAAATGTTTTTCATAAGGATAGCTAAAACTCTGACTAATAAAGATATTCCAAGGAGAGGCATGATGTGTAAGAAGTCTGTGAAGATTCTTTACTACCTTCAGAGGGCCAGCAGCATAAGGAAAAGAAAGCAGTGAGAACAGTCCACACCCCCATCCCTTATGTCTGTGAGAAGGGGATTCTCCAGAGTAGCCACAAATGTCAAAGTGCTTCAACTTCAGATGGTTATGATAGCTGGCATGCAATGGCAGCCACAGAATCAATTCTGTCTACATTCTGCTTCAATTCCAGATGGATAAATTGGGCCAGTAAGAAATGAAGCAGCAGACAATGACTGGTAAATGACCCAAAAAAACTAGGCCAACAAGATTTCTAAAGACAGAGAATGTTACAGCCACAAAAATTGCTAGCGGCGTAGAGAAGTTTGTGAGTGAGTTAATTGTCAGCATCCCTCAAGTTATTATAGAAAATTCTAAAGTTAAGGTTGAGCAATTCAGCCTCTCATGTATGAGAAACACAGCTCTTAGTTACTCAAGAAAATTACAGCACTTAATTCCGAGTACAGAATTCAATTTCCAAGGATTAATAAGTAAACACCTTAATTAATGTATGACTTTAAAATAATTAAAGTGAGTCCTTTAAGAGATTTAAC